TAAGCAAAAAAAACAAAGACAAATAAAGGGAGACAGGGCAGGAAACGTGGAGGGGGAGGAGGAGAAGAGAAAGTTTCTCAGAGGGTGAGTCATGAAAACACAACTTTAATCAGAACGTCAGTGATTTCTCTCTCTCTCTCATCCTCGGCTGCTGAGGTTGTGGCGGCCGACGTTCTCCGCGCGCCGCTGTGATTTGGCCCAAATGTGTCTTTTTAAATGTTAAAAACTCCCGGTCCTGTAAGAGTGTCTGACTCCGCAGCGTCGGTCTGTAGTTAAACGCCCACTGACGTGGAGCAGGGCTCTGGTTCCAGAGTCAGAAATACTTTATTGATCACTGAGGGCGGGAGGGGGGGTGGATTGGTGGGGGTGGGGTTTTGGGTACTTAAAAATTATTTCTAGATAAGCAGGAGTTAGAAGCGTCTGAATGATCCTGTTACTCCTCCAGCTTCAAATCCAACCAATCAACTCCCAGTATGTGTTTGTTGGGAGGCTCAACCTGGGGTCTGCGGCCCTGGCTCCATGATGTTGAGTTCCATATTAATTATATCATCACGTGGATTAATTAAACAAATAAAAACAGATGAGAAACACTGACATCTACCTGCTGTTATTGGTATTGGTCTGTTCCAAAAAAATATACAGATTTTTTCTTTTTTTTCATATTTAGGAACTTTGATTTTATCAACTAATCATGATTAATCGCAACTGTCCACTGCTGCCTTATGAATAACAATCTTAACGACATATTTAATAAGTAAAATTCAGGGGTGAGTTCAGTAATTAGAGGTTCTTCTATAGTAATACTTCACAGTAAATAAAAATACTGCAAATATTTTGACAGTATATTGAACAGATATATGGATAAAAAAAAAGATAAAAAGATCAGATTATTGGACATATATTGACCGGAGTCATTGTACTGTAGAATTAGAATAGAATCGGAATATTTTGGGGGATGCGTGAGCTGCCACTAGGGGGCATAAGAGACAGTTTGTGTTTTTTAAGTGGGATTTTTCCACACAATAAAGACATGTAAATATATATAAATATATACATACGTGTATGTGTGTGTTGTGTACAGTGAATGTGTGTGTACCTGAAAAACACTCTATGAAGTCTTGCTCCAGTTTCAGGGCTCGGTCCATTCCTTTTCTGGCCTGTTCTTCTGTCAGACGAGTGTTGATCTCTCTGTGAAAACAACACAAAGGTATTTATTCAATACTCCAAATACTCTCTACTCTGTGCCACCAGTACTGTCCAAGTATTCTGAAGGAGTACTCACAGGACATTCTCCAGTGACTTGGGTCGCACAAAGATGGCGATGGGATGAAGCTGAGCCGCCTGTAGTCTGCGCACGGCGTTGGCCGAAACATCCAGGATGCAGTGTTTCCCCTGCTGCTCCAGCACCGAGACAGGGTCAGGGTCGGGGTCAGGGGTCAGGGGTCAGGGTCAGACACAAAGCCAGGGTCAGGGTCGGGGTCAAGGGTCAGGGTCAGGGTCATGTCAGGAGGAAGGACAGAGACATTGTGTTTCAGGGAAACAGATGTGACTGATGTTAAAACATAGTAATTTTTAAAGGTGAGAAAAAGTCAAAACATGACTCAGACTTAGCTAAAGGTTAGCTAGCATTGAACCTAATATTCAGTTATACTGACATCATAAAGGTAGAAGTTAGCCGAGAAGAAAGAGAATCTTTATTTGATACCTAAAAATGAGGCATGAATTTTAGTTACAATAAAGTAGTTAAAGTTATAGAAAAAATTATAGAATTTTCAGATTTTTTTTATAAAAAAAAGTTTGTTACAAAACAAGAAAATTAAAAGAAAATAAAAAAAATTTTTTTTAAAAAAATAAAAATTAACCTACAGTCATATGCACCTAAAACTAAATGCTAAAGGGTAACAGAAATATATATATAGTATAGAAATCTATCAGCTAGAAATACAAAGATATCTGTCTTAGAACTTTTTGACTGAAAAAAACAAAAACTGAATTTAAAAAAATTGCCACTCAGTGCTTTGTCAAAGTTTTTTTTTTTTTACTGGATATCTTTCCACAATCGGCCCCTGGAGACTGATGACTGGGTGGAATTGAACACCCTGCATGACAGGCAGGAATCCACACCGCTGCACCACTCTGCCCGCCCCAGACTTTAGGTTAAAACAAACAAAAAAAAAAACAACTGTGTTTGACCCGCTGTGGCCTGTTCTACCCTGACACCAGGGGGCAAAAAAAAAAAAGATGGCCAGGGTCCTACTGTGGGACGCGACCCGCTGTGGGACGCGACCCGGTGTCCTCCAGGTCCTGGACTCCTACCTGCTCAGCCACCTCACGGACGCTCTGGACGCTGGTGCCGTACAGGTGGCTGTTGTACTGGCCGGCCTCGATGAAGCGGTGGCTCTGGATGTCCTTCTCCATCTGCTCCCGTGAGGACACGAAGTGATAGTCCCGTCCGTCCACCTCGTACTCCCGCTTGGGCCGCGTGGTGTCTGTCGGGCGAGAAAAAGTTACTTTTCCAGAGAAAAAAACATCCAAAACAGAGAACTCTTGAGGAGCCCAAGCCCAGGAGCGACTTACGTGGAACACAAGATCCGAACTTATCTGGGAACTCAGACAACAGGTCGTCGTTTATTCTGTCCTTGACTGGACCCAGGATGATGATGGGCCGCGCGTAGTGAACTGACAACAGAGAGAGGAAGAAAAAGGAGTTAAGTAAACTTTGAAATGTTTCTTTTTTCTTCTTCTTCTTCTTCTGTGGCAGTGACCTCACCTTCCACCTGGGCCACCGTCTCGTAACTGTTTGACGTTTTATCTCTTCCTGGAGACGGAGAAGACGCAGGAAACAGAATGGTCACTGGATGACATGTACACTTTATGTTCTGGTACAGATATACTTGTTGGGACCATTCTTTATATTACTGTTGGGGGGGGGCACTTTAGGAGTGAGGGGTATTCTGATCTGAATGTAGTTAGGAGTCAGATTGGATTAAAATCCAGGTCAGATTAGAGATTAGGATGAGTTAAATCTGTATCTGTAGTAGTTAAAGTTATGATAAAGGGGCTAAAAATTGATTTTAGAATTTGTGAAATTCTCACAAAATGAAAAACAAAAAAAAAAAAAGTTTTTTTTTCTGGTTTTCCTATACTTGTTGGGACATTTTTTTGGATGAAACGCCACCCTGTGTCCTCGTGGGGACGTGGATGAAACACCACCCTGTGTCCTCGTGGGGACGTTCTGCAGGACGTCACTGAGGGATATAAAGTTGAAAAATTTTTTTTTTTATTTAAACGTTTCATCAATTTTGACCAGGTCCCCAGCATCACCGTCTGAAATTCAGCCCTAAACTATTACAGATTCTTGGTCTAATCTTTACATTTAGCATTTTCTAATTCTGTCATGACATTTTTTTTTTTAAACTCGTGTGTGTGTCAGTGACGTCAACACACTCACTGTTCACACGTCTTTACCTTTAGTGCTCAGGCTGTCTCTCCCGTGGTCCTGCAGTCAGAAGGAGAACACACACACACACACACACACACAGGTTCATGTTCCAGACCCTGGGACAGACAGAGTCATCGCTCTCACACTGATCTAGGTTAAATCAACTCACCCTCTCCTTGGTGTTGCCACGAGACCACTCCTTCCTCTCCACCCTGTTGGAGACGAGGACACGGAATGAAAACATGACATTTAGCAAGAGGTGGAGGAGGAGGAGGAGGAGGACCTGCGTCAGAACAGCGTCTCCTCTGGCATTTATACATCAAAATGAGCTGCTTATCTCCCAAAATGACTGTGATAAGAAAAGCTCTGGAGAATTCGTCCCTGGTGTTTAGTGACCGGTGGAACCTGATGAACCGTCGCTTATTCCTGACCCAAACGTGTGCACTGACCTGTGTTTGCTGGGGATGAAGCCGACCTCCTCCGCCTCGTTCTGGGGGCTGACTTTGCGAGCCTGCCACCACTCCTCGTCTCCGCAGTCCAACACGTGAAGAACGTCCCCGAACTTGAAGCCCAGAGCCTGGCTGAGGAAGCCACAGTCTGCTGTCTTGTCGTAGTCA